AACATTGTGTAGACTGTAGCGTCTTTTAAATCTATCAAACCACCCACGACTTCCTGTAAAGGTTTGATCACATTCATCTCCTGCCTGCTCCTTCAGGCTTTGGAACAGGCTTCTTGCTTTAGCCTGTATGGTTAGAACGCTTAAGGGTACGCGCTTCTGTATCTGGTCTTCTATCCATATCACCAATAATTTTTCCATATCGTGGATAGGACCTTGTCTTTTCTTTGATATTATAGTTCCCTTTATAGGTGTTGTTCCTTTCACTACTTCACGAATACGTTCCTTGTCCTTCAGAATAGTGGATATAGTCGAGTGTGAGAAACCAAGGTCGCGTGAGATCGTTGCTACTGTTTTTCCATTCTCATACTGTGTTATTATCTTCAGTTTCATCTCAAAAGTAATTGCCTGTCTCCTTTTCCTTGGAGTACCACCAGCACTCTCACTTTTACGCTTTCCAGTCATTATAAAGTCAATTAAATACAATAATAACGAAAGTTCACAGCGCGATCAGTATAGGATACGATAGCCAAACACAAACAAAGCGCTCCACTGAGTGAGTGTAGCCACGAGGCGACTCAAAACACTCCTCCCTCTCGCCCGGGACGGAAACGTTTCGGTATAGAAAATGCGCGCGTCATTTGAAAAAATTTTTGGTCACGACGGTCGCAGTCGTATGTCCCGTACGGACGTACGGTCAAAGCAGGTCGTAAGTACCAGTGGACGTAAGTCCACGTAGTCGTAAGTCGGGGTCTGTCTGTATATATATGAACAGTAAATAAGTGTTGTTTTCATATTCTTATATAGAGTAATGACGATATGTTTCACGTGTGCTCACTTACATACGTGATCTCACTTTTCTTTACCATTAATGGTTAGCTACTTCCATTGTTCCATTGATTATCATTAAATAACATTACTTATAACAACCATTTTAATTTTTTTACATTAATTTTATTACAGCTACAATCGGGATCTTATTTTCTTCAGTTTTATATGTAGAACCAATCAGTCACTGGTTTTGTAAACAACAAAAACAATGCCATCTCGTCTCCTCGGGCGTTTTAATATTCTACGTATTATTTATGAATTGTATTGTTCATTTTGCACACAAACAATAATTCAATCAAAAAGAAATTAAGTAATAAACAATAAATCTTTTTTACATAAGAGAAATGCGGGCCGCTCAAACCCGTCGAAATTTTGAATTGTGTAGTGTTTTTTTTTGGTGTCCAAATATAAAATGTCGAATTATAGACTTGTACTATACTATACTGTTCTGTACTTAACTATACAGTGGTCCCTCAGTTAACGAACACAATTCGTTCCAGAAGGTCGTTTGTTAACCGAAAATTTCGTTAACCGAAACCATTGTTACCAATGGGATCTTGGGTAATTGGTTCCAGCTCACCGAAAATTACATACAAACTAAAAATAAATTCAGTAAAGTACACTTTACTTTGAGGTGTGCATGTAGAAGGCTCCTGGTTGATGATGACGATGATGGGAATTTGAAGTGGGGGTGAGCATGTTGGGAAAAATTTGTAAGGAATTTGTTACCGGTAACCGAAATTTTTTTGTTAACCGAAGTGACAAATCTTATGGAAGGTAATTCGTTAACCGAAATTTTGTTAACCGAGAGATCAATGTTCTGTACTGTGCTATACTATATTGTACTGTACTATACTGTATTGTACTGTACTATCTAATATACTATAGGAATAGCCGTGTGTCTGTCTGTCTGTCCGTCTGTCTCTTCTGCGCAGCCGAAACGGCACAATCGTTTTTCATCAAACTTGGTGAAAAAATCACAAAAAAATTGTAGAGTGGAACAAACCTGGTCCCATGTCGATGGTTTCTTTAGGAAGGCATTAATCAACCATTTTATTTACGCTGGAAAACGATGCCAGTCTACAGACTTGGCGCACCCTCATTCGCTGTACGCTGTTAGCCGGACGACGAACTGGGCACGAAAGGCCCGCGATCACTTGTACTGTACTATACTATACTGTACTATACTATACTATACTATACTGTACTGTACTGTACTGTACTGTACTGTACACTTCTGTACTACTGTACAGTAATACCCCGCTTTACGCGGTTCTCGTTTACGAGTTTCTACATTTACACAGTACCTTGCCAGAACCAGAATTCCCACTTTACGCGGTGCATCTACTCATATACGCAGGTGAAGTATAATTTTTTTTTTTAGCTCATAAAATTCATACAAATTACCAGGCCAGAATATAATTTACATTGCTGGAATTCTTACAATATGATGATCATTTTGAATATAAACATCATAGATTTTGCATTAGACATACAAATTTTAGATCTAATGTAAGAATTTTGTTTACTCAGAGCAAATATGTTATCTTTTAGGCAAAATATGTCACCTGTTTATTCAAAATATTCCTGGTCTTGCAAGGAATCCAGCAATGTCAATTATATTATCCTAACTTTAGTTTGAGGTATTATTTATTACTATACCTTAAAATCTAGTGTTTTTACCCAAACATTTCTCGGAGAGGGAGGAGCCAGCGAACTTGGGAAGAGGGGGGGAGGGGGGAGTTGAGTCCATTATTTGAATGGACATTAACCGGCAACTGTATATCTCTTAAATATTAATTGTGTATGCATACCATCATAAAATTAAGATGTTATTTTTACTACAACATAGGTATTGTGTCGGAAAAAGTGGAGTTTGGGAGTCGGCCCAGTCTCTATTTCAATTAATCCCATTTGTTCTGTTATTCCATTTACGCATTTCTCGTTTTACGCGAACCTCTGCGGGTTCAATTGACCTCGTAAATCGGGGTATTATTGTATACTGGTCAGTTCTGCACTGTACTATACTATACTATATACTGTACTATACTATACTGTACTGTACTGTACTGTACTCTACTCTACTCTACTCTACTCTACTCTACTATACTCTACTATACTATAATGTACTATACTATACTGTACTATACTGTACTTTACTGTACCTTACTGTACTGTACTATAACATACTATAATGTACTTTGCTGTACTATAATTGGGGTTATGCCTTGTTTCCTTAACATTTACCCAACAGTCTTGAATGTACTGAAGCAGCAAGTAGGTCACTACCTTTATGTGCTCCACACTTTCCTCTGACTAAAAAGATTCTGCCATTGAAGTACTGTATGAATTTAGCAGTAGTGGAGCAGACTGTTTCTATTATAGCTGTATCAAAGACTCTGCCCTCACTCCCTGAGAAATTCTCACTCCACTGTCTTGCTAACATCCTAATTATTCTTCCTTGTAGAAAACAGAGAAGGTGAATCTGTTATTACAAGACTCAACAGATAGTTTATGAGTAGAGATCCAATTGATCAAGATATAGATGATTCATTTTGTGAGTCAAGTCTTATATATTTTATTAATAATTTTTACCACTTTCAGGTTTTGTAGAGAGTATTTCTCTTAGCTGGTGCAGTTCACACCTTCTGAACTCTGCTGACAACCTCAGGTCCAGTGGTGTCAGCACAAGAGTGAAAGTATTCAGTCACCTTTTCTACAGTCTCCTTCATGTGTCCAGTACCAAGTATCACCATCAGCATCCAGGAAAGTGAACAGTGTTGTGCTATTTTGCTCATCCCAAATATTCTTAATAAAGATTTTATGGCAGTCAACTAAAGGTGAATGAACATTAAGCGATGTTTGGAGATACAACTGTAAAAGACGAGGCGCCATGTAGTACTTTCCTCACAGTCTGTTTATCTGTCAGCCTTACTTCATTTTAAGTTAACTCAGATGAACATTTATATTTAAATCATTTGTTTAATGATTTGATGTAAAGAGAAAATTTCACTGTCACCATTAACATTGTTTCATGGCCATATTCCACAATCTCGTGTGTTAGTTGGTTGGTTTTATGGCCACACTCCACAATCTCGTGTGTCAGTTGGTTGGTTTTATGGCCACACTCCAGTAAGGCCAAGTACAGCCAAGATGACCACCATCTGAGAGACCACAAGCCCAAGATATTTGGGGAAAGAAACAATGAATATGGAAGGTGACACTGAAGATCCCCCTCAAGGTTCACAATGCCATGAAGATTTTAAAAAAGACTGTCTTGTAAAGCATGTGGGAGATCACCCATCAGAGACACTTTTTAACACAGGAGAGAAGTTCCAGTGTTCAGAATGTTCTAGATCATTTACTAAAAAATCTAGTTTAGTACAACATATGAGGGTTCACACAGGAGAGAAGTTCCAGTGTTCAGAATGTTCTAGATCATTTACTAAAATATCTAGTTTTGTACAACATATGAGGGTTCACACAGGAGAGAAGTTCCAGTGTTCAGAATGTTCTAGATCATTTACTAAAAAATCTAGTTTAGTACAACATATGAGGGTTCACACAGGAGAGATGTTACAGTGTTCACAATGTACTAGTTCATTTATTAAAAAATCTAGTTTAGTACAACATATGAGGGTTCACACAGGAGAGATGTTACAGTGTTCAGAATGTACTAGTTCATTTACTTATAAATCTAGTTTAGTTGAACATATGAGGGTTCACACAGGAGAGATGTTACAGTGTTCAGAATGTACTAGTTCATTTACTTATAAATCTAGTTTAGTACAACATATGAGGGTTCACACAGAAGAGAAGTTCCAGTGTTCAGAATGTACTAGTTCATTTATTAAAAAATCTAGTTTAGTACAACATATGAGGGTTCACACAGGAGAGATGTTACAGTGTTCAGAATGTACTAGTTCATTTACTCAGAAATCTCAATTAGTACAACATATGAGAGTTCACACAGGAGAGAAGTTCCAGTGTTCAGAATGTACTAGTTCATTTACTCAGAAATCTAGGTTAGTTCAACATATGAGGGTTCACACAGGAGAGAAGTTCCAGTGTTCAGAATGTTCTAGATCATTTACTAAAAATCTAGTTTAGTACAACATATGAGGGTTCACACAGGAGAGATGTTCACAGTGTTCAGAATGTACTAGTTCATTTATTAAAAAATCTAGTTTAGTACAACATATGAGGGTTCACACAGGAGAGATGTTACAGTGTTCAGAATGTACTAGTTCATTTACTTATAAATCTAGTTTAGTTGAACATATGAGGGTTCACACAGGAGAGATGTTACAGTGTTCAGAATGTACTAGTTCATTTACTTATAAATCTAGTTTAGTACAACATATGAGGGTTCACACAGAAGAGAAGTTCCAGTGTTCAAAATGTACTAGTTCATTTATTAAAAAATCTAGTTTAGTACAACATATGAGGGTTCACACAGGAGAGATGTTACAGTGTTCAGAATGTACTAGTTCATTTACTCAGAAATCTCAATTAGTACAACATATGAGAGTTCACACAGGAGAGAAGTTCCAGTGTTCAGAATGTACTAGTTCATTTACTCAGAAATCTAGGTTAGTTCAACATATGAGGGTTCACACAGGAGAGAAGTTCAAGTGCTCAGAATGTACTAGTTCATATACCCATGAATCTAGTTTAGTACAACATATGAGGGTTCACACAGGAGAGATGTTCCAGTGTTCAGAATGTACTAGTTCATTTACTAAAAAATCTAATTTAGTACAACATATGAGAGTTCACACAGGAGAGATGTTCCAGTGTTCAGAATGTACTAGTTCATTTACTAATAAATCTAGTTTAGTTGATCATATGAGGGTTCACACAGGAGAGATGTTCCAGTGTTCAGAATGTACTAGTTCATTTACTAAAAAATCTAGTTTAGTTGATCATATGAGGGTTCACACAGGAGACACACCATATCATTGTACAATATGCAATAAATCCTTCACACAGAAGTGCTGTATGATAAGGCACAAAAGAGTTCATACAAGAGAAAAATTTCAGTGTTGTGAGTGTCAAAAATGTTTTCCCAGTAGAGTGAGTCTCACAAGGCATAGTAGAACTCATCTGACTTCTTACAGTAAAGTTCATGCAAAAGATAATAAATGCCACAAAAAATATGATAATAAACAAAGGCTGAAAAAATGTTGTGAGGAGAAGTCAGGGAGTGGTAGGAGATTCACCCAGAGGAACCACCACCTTGGTGCTCTCGGGAGCCACACAACAGAAAAACGAGCGGGCAATGACCTGAACAGTCCAGAGCCGAGCCACAATAATTGTCGGGAACTGCCCACTTCCTATCATAGTGAAGATGAGTATAGCCTCTCTTACCAGTGTAAGACAAAGGCTGTGTGTAAACTAGCAGATAATGACCTTGTAGTGAGTAGATCAACACATTTCATAGACTGGTCAGGTCATGGAGTTAAAGATGAACCTGTTGATGGTCAACCTTCAATCTTAAGTTTATCAGAAGATCCACTTCAATCTGAGATGGTTCCTCCATCTTCTATAAAATTAGAGAGCCTTAAGGAGGAATTTGAGTTTCTTGAGGAAGAATTGTGAAACCTTATTAACATATTGTGTGTAATGCAAGCTTGTGTATGTTTATATTAATAAATATATACTGAGAACCCAACTGTTTATCCTCACAATGTATATAATAAAAGCAGTGGGCAGCAACTTGATAAACAATTCCACTGTAGATCTTATACCTTTATGTACAGCCAGATTACTTTTACCCCTTCGGTGTTGAACTAAAATGGTTTAGTTTACCGTAAATTGAAGAATAGAGATAAACAAGTGATAACATATCCTGAGAACATTGTGGACTTGTTGAATTATTAATTTGAGGAACTTGTATTTCAGTGCATATCATTGTTTTCTCATTTTGACTGTCGGTCACATTATTAAACAACAAATATAAGATAATTGGTGGAAGTCTAAAGATATAAGCATTAAATATTAGTGTGGTCATAGTTGCATGAAATGAAAATACTCAAAATGACATTGAGGGAACTGATGAGAATATTGTTCATCTTTGATGGCCAGGCAGTTTTAAAGACTTATTTTTGGGTCCAAATAAAAATGAAAAATCAAAGAAACAATAAGTAACATTTACAGTAGACTTTTGTGGATTACCCCGGGGGTTAGGTTACAATTTACAACTCAAAATTTTCAAAATGGATCATAAGCATGTGTGTGGTTGTGTGTGTGTGGTGTGTGTCTGCGTGTGTGGTGTGTGTGGTTGTGTGTCTGCGTGTGTGGTGTGTGTCTGCGTGTGTGGAGTGTGTGTGTCTGCGTGTGTGGAGTGTGTGTGTGTGGTTGTGTGTTCTGTGTGTGTGTAATCAAATGTACTAAAGTTAATTACTAAAATTATTACGTCTGGTGGAAAATAAGGGATGTTTATCCTTAAATTAATTGCTATCTTACAAGAATTTCAGCAATGAAAATTATATTTTCTTAAGTAAAATCAGTGACAATTTTATAAGGGAAAACTAAACTCCTTTGTTTATATTCCTTGAGCAAGTGTTAACCTCCCCTCCTGGGAGAAGGGTCCAGTTGAGGGGGGGGTGATTGTAACCCTCACCCCACAAAAGGGTCCCTCACTGTGTCTACTGTTAATTTGTTTTTCATTAATTAGTACAGATACGTTACTGTAATAATCTGTCCTTATTAATACCTGTACCCTCTATATACAATACAGTATAGTACTATATATATAACTCAGGTAAAAAATGTCATTCAAGACATCTTCAGGTCATATGACCCACCAATTCCCTTGTGTGTGTGTACTTAAATGTATAAATGTATTAAGTCCAATACTAATTTTTTAATCTCATTGGAAACGTTTGGTAGACAATTTATTAAGGATCGTTATGGTATCATATTCATCTCCCTGTCACATTTAGCCACGCTTGAGTGAGGAAAGGGGAGGGGGGGACTAACCAGCGACTCTACCCCTAAAAAGATTATCTGCTTCCTTCAACACACTAACATGACACACACACACACACACACACACACACACACACACACACACACACACACACACACACACACACACACACCCTTCAACACACACATATACACCCTCCAACACAGACACACCCTCCAACACACACACACCCTCACACACACACACACATACACCCTCCAACACACACATACACCCTCCAAACACACACACATACACCCTCCAACACAGACACAACACACACACAACCCTCCAACACACACACACCCCAACACACACACACACACACACCCCAACACACACACACAACCCAACACACACACACAAACACCCAACACACACACACACCCAACACACACACCCTCCAACACACACCCTCCAACACACACACACACCCTCCAACACACACACACACCCTAGCACTCACACACCCCCTCCAACACACACCGTCCAACACACACACATACACCCTCCAACACACACACACTCACACCCTCCAACACACACCACACCTCCAACACACACTCACATCCCTCCAACACACACACACCCTCCTAAACACACACACACACAACCCCAACACACACACACACACACACCCACCAACACACACACACACACACACCCCAACACACACACACACACACACCCTCCAACACACACACACACACCATCCAACACACACCCAACACACACACACACACACACACACACACCCAACACACACACACACACACACACACCCAACATGCACACACACACCCAACATGCACACACACCTCCAACACACACATACACACACACACACACACACCAACACACACACCCTCCAAATACACACACACTTCCAACAATACACCTCCAACACACACCATCCAACACACACACACAGCCCAACACACACACCCTAACACACACACAAACTGGAACCAACAACAACAACAACAACAACAACAACAACAACAACAACAACAACAACAACAACAACAACACACCAACAACAACAACACACACACACCCACCAACACACACACACACACACACACACACAACAACACCCACACACACACACAACCAACAACAACACCCCCCCCCCTCCAACACACACACACACACACACCCTCCAACACACACACACACACACACACACACACACACATCCTCCAACACACACACACATCCTCCAACACACACACACACACACACACACAGTGCACCCCAAGGAAAAGTCAGGCAGTGGGCACTTTATCGGTCACCTTTAAAGTGCCAGTGACAAGGACCACCGCGGTGTTTACATATATCGTGAAAACTGTGTCGGCGACCCCAAGCACCAGGGACAAAGACCCACGGTCTTTACGACTGACAAATATTAACAGATGTCTACCAGTGTCAGTGGCCCACAAAGTGCCGTCAGTGACAAACACTTCCGTCCGCCCACAACAGATATCAACAGATGGCCACCAATCACTTACTCCCGACGCACTCTGTACCATCTAAAGCGTGGGAACGGTTATCCTGATGGCAGTGTTATCGCGCGACTCAAGTCACTGAACATATTCCACGCGCGGAGCCGTAGACAAGGCCGTCATACACATAAGCCCATTAGAACCGTAACCTCCACTAGGAAACCGGAGAAACCCACCCCTGACAGACCATACCACCACACTGAAGTTCCACGGATATGGTATGATCTCCCGTCTTTACTGCTATCCAACGTCACTTCCCTAGCTAACAAGTTCGACGAGCTGGCAACTACAGTCAGGTCAGCCGCCGCGAGCGTCGTTGCCATATGTGAGGCTTGGCAAATTGTGCCTGAAACGTGTCATATTGAGGGATATCAACTCTTTCATCACCTTCGTTCACATAGACGCGGAGGGGGCGTTGCCCTCTTCTGTCAAGATGACCTACGCCCGTCACGCCTGGATGTCCAAGTCCCAGCAGATGTGGAAGCATTATGGGTACGTGTTGTGCCACGGGCCCACCCGCGCAACACTGCTTCCATCATAATCTGTGTGGCATACCATCCGCCTATCTCACCCACCAGAGACACTCTTATCAATCATCTCATCACCACCTCAGACCACCTCAGAGTTAGGTACCCATGTGTCAAGTTAGTATTATGTGGGGATTTTAATGAAATTGACACCACTGATATCCAGGACCAGCTATCACTATCACAAGTTGTGACCTTCCCCACACACGGTCAAAATACCCTTGACCTTATCTTAACTGACTTAGCGGACCACCTCAACCAATGCCTCCTATCGGGTGTAGCACACACTTATCAGTGCTCTGGTCCCCAGCTGCCACTCCCACTCAAGTACAGAGACCCTATATCAAGATCTACAGGCCGATTACTGACTCTGCAGTGCGCCTCTTCGGGCAGTGGATAGTTCACCATCCCTGGACTGAAGTACTTAGCGTGGATGACGTGGAAACCAAATGGATAAATTATACCAACACCACCACGGAAGCTCACCACCACTTCTTCCCCGAGAAGTCCGTCAGATCTCACCCAGCTGACTTGCCCTGGATCACACCTCGGATCAAAACACTTATGCAACAGAGAGACAGAGCCTTTCATCTCAATGACCACATCCGCTACAGGTCCCTTCGCAACCGAGTCATCCGCGAAATACGCACTGCAAAGAAGTCCCACTACCCAACCAAATTATAACACCTGAAGCAGACCAACATCAGTCAATGGTATGGTAAGCTTAAAGAACTCTGTGGACTAAACAATAAGGCACACCCCCTCCCCTTCCTTAGCCATCTCACTAATGTTGACGCAGCTGAGCAAACAAACAACCATTTCGCTACTATATGCCAGACGCTCCCCCAGCTTGACACAACCACTCTCCCTGCTTACCTACCAGCCCCCCTTCCCACTGACTTAGTAGAAGAATTTGAAGTAGCAAAACGCCTGGACAAACTAAAATTAAAACGCTCTACCACCCCCATTGACTTACCAATGAAACTTTTCAAGGAGTTCTCCCCGGAGCTTGCTAAACCCCTATGCTCCATCATCAATGCTTCTCTCAGTCAAGCCAGATGCCCAGCTGACTGGAAGACCTCTTATGTATCACCAGTGCCCAAGTCAACCAGCCCACAATCCTTAAATCAGCTACGACCTATTGCAATCACACCAATACCCAGCCTGTGAAAGTTTTGTGTTCGACTGGGCTTATGCTGATATTGCAGGAGTCGTAGACCCTCAGCAATTTGGCAACATGAAAACTTCCTCCACCACTCACTGTCTTGTCAGCTTTCTCGATTACATAT